CCCAGATCGGGTTCCTCACAAGGAACCCAACTCTGGGTTCGGCGAGGAACCCAGATCGGGTTCCTCACCAGGAACCCAGAGGGTTCCTCATGGGTTCCTCCCGAGGAACTCAGATCGGGTTCCTCGGGAGGAACACCCAAATGGAGGAACACTCGATCTGGGTTCCTCACCGAACCCAGATCGGGTTCCTTGCTCTGGGTTCGGGAACCCAGCTTGGGTTCTCGAACCCAGAGCTGTTGTTCTAAATTTTTTTTATTTTTTTATTTAAATAAGCCACATCATCAAAGAAAAGCATCCACATTGGATTATTAATGGCACATAGTGACCACGTCGATTTTTGAGTGCCACGTAGTACATTTTGTAACGGTACCGTGACGTCATGTTAAAATGTTGGGTTTTTTACGGGTTTTGAAAAGTTAAGGGTGTGAATAGGGAGGAAAAATTCTGGAAGGTGTTGACCGTGAAAAAGAAATAAATGGAGGGTGCAAATAGGGGGCTTTGGCCAAAAAGATATGCAGCAAAAGTCGGGTTACTCAGTTTTGAGAGACCGGCAAGGAGGGGATAATGTGAAGATGTTCCAAAAATTCTGGAATCGGTGCATCCCAAACAAGGTATCCACCTTTAACCGTATGCTGTTGCTGAATAGAATACCAACAAAAGTAAATTTGTGTAGTTTTTGTGGGGTTGCACTTGAAGACTCTGATCATTAGTTCTTGGAGTGTTCTTTTGTGTCAAAATTGTGGCGTAAATGCCTAAATTGGTGGGTTTTGAGTTGTGTGATTCATAATGATTGTAGAGAGGCTTTTGGCCAGCATGTTTTCATCTCAAAAAAAAAAAAAAAAAGGGGTTAGACGGGGCTGGGAGGCTCTATGGTTTGGCCTCAGATGGACAGTATGGTTAGCAAGGAATGAAGAAACTTTCAGACATGTGGAATCAGTTGTTGAAAAGCTTTTTGACCCATCCAGATTCGAACAATTTTCTTGGATTAGAGGAAGGCTGGCGGGGTGTATGTTTTTCAGTTTGGATTGGATGCAAAATCCTATGTTGTGTTTGAAGTCAATTCAAGGAGGTAAGAAGGGAATGTGAAGAATTATAGTGCAGGGGTCGGGCTTTTAGCACTTGGGGTGACATACAGTAGATTGCTTTTGTATTGATGTATAAGATTTTTAAAGATTTTTGTGTCGACATGCCCCGTCATTTAGGGCTGTTTATGGATTTGGAGTAGCCATATAGATTTGCCGTTCAAAAAAAAAATTATTACTCTTGCCTAACCTTACCTGCCACACTAACATCCACCGCACTGCGACTACCACGGCCTAACCTTACCTACTGCCCCATCACTACGGCTCCCTCTAGTAGTTATTAAAAATAAAAAGCTTAAAATCTTAAAAAAAAAAGAAAAAAGAGAAGCACTACCACTACTTAGCACTACCACTCAAAAAGATGAACAGCTTAAAAATAAAAAAATTCACTTATATTTTATTTATTATATTTATATAAAATTTTAATTATTTTTATATTTATATTTTTTATTTAATTAAAATTTAATTTTAAATTTTCATATAATTTAAGACTTTAATTAAGCATTTGAGTCCAAAATTTGTGCAAGTTTGAGTCTTCATCCCATACTTTTGCCCTTCTTTTATTCTAG